CTGGAATATTTGAGAGGCACAAGACTGATCGCTTGTCTTTCCAATGATACACCTTGATGCCAGCGGTGTTCTGTTGCGAAATCTTTTCTCCTGTTTTTACTTTTGCATTTAGCAGTGATTTTGGAACAAATTTTATATTTTTCTTAGTGTCTCACAGTAGTACCGTAGGTTTTTCAAAAAATTTTCTGCTAGATGGACAGATGTATAGAAATTGTCAGCAAAAATAGTTGAACCCTGTCCAAGAATTGGCTGGCATAGCTGCAAAACGACAGATTCAGAATGGCTGAACGTGGCTTCTCGTTCCCTGTTTCCAGTGTACAGTGGGGGGAAATAAATATTCGTACACTTGAAAAATCGTATTTTAATGTATGTAAGTACACAAACTGAACAGGAGAAGTGATTTATATTATGTATAGAGGCGCAATGTATTCAAAAATAGCATCAATAGAAATTAAATCTCAATGCAACACAAATTAATGCAACATGTGGTATTATTGCAGATTAACTACATCCAAAAAAAAGGGTGTTTTTTTTTTAATTATATGTTTTTTGGGGTGTAGATTACGAATCTGAAGTCCATTTTTGGCGGTCGGCATCGGAAAACCGATTTTTTTCGCGACTTACTAACATGGGGGTTACGTAACTTACGTTACCCACTCACCTTTATTTACTAACATGGGGGTTACGTAACTTACGTTACCCACTCACCTTTATATAAAGGGTCGGATTGTTCATCGAAATTTTACAAAAAGCTCTTAGGTTGGGTTAAGTCAGCCAAGTTCCTTTTTTTAGATAGCATTTTGATCTAAAAGNAAAGTGAACATGTTGCATTGTTTTTTGTTGCATTGAGATTTAATTTCTTTTGATAGTATTTTTGAATACTATGCGTCTCTATACATAATTTAAATCACTTTTCCTGTTAAGTTTGTGTACTTACATACATTAAAATACGATTTTTCAAGTGTACGAATATTTATTTCCCCCCACTGTATATGTGAAGGTTGCAAGTGTAGGCAAAGCTTATACAGCTTTACGCCGTACTTGTGTGCCTTTCCAGGATTTGTCGGAACTTCACACTGTCTCGGAATGGGATAATTGACTCGTTTATCACTAGTCGTGATCCGGGTGTATATGTTGACTTGTAATTGTCAGTTAACTTTTGCTTAAGTGGTTCTATTTTTTTAAGCTTTTTTGAGTTTTCAAAACGAGCATTTTGATTGAAGTTGACAAAGGGTAGAAGCAACGAATGCCTATCTCTTGAAGTGTTACTGCAGATAAACGGATAGTCAAAATGTCTTTTTAGACCAGTAGAGTTCCAGCCTTGATTGCGTACTAATCCCATTGCAATTATCAGCCCTAAAAATTTTTTTATTTCATAAGCATTTGTGGGAGTCCAGCATTTCAGTCACGCTCTTCTTGTAATCTTCGAGTTCTGTAAAACTTGATCAGCATATGTGTTCGTTTCTGTTCCTATTTCCGAAATAATTTCTTCCGTTACAAAGAAATTATAAGTATTAAATGGCGTTACCGGGATCTGAAGGTATTCAACTTTGAAGGGAACCTGACGCCCGTACGGCAAACGGACTAAATCGACAGTCGCAGCCAACGTGTTGATGTTTTGTTATTAGATGCGTGAGGAAAATTTACTTATTATCTTTCCAAAGTTGAGCTGGGATCTGACATTCGAATTGCTGTACCACTTGCGATGGTAGCCTGATTTTGCTCTAGGAAGGTGCTTTATGAAGCAAGAAAAAATGTGTTCGAGTGCCCACGGACTCACAGGAGGTTAAGTGATCTATGTTATCTATCGTTATCTCGATAGCCAGCTACTGTTTGTCGTCGGTAGGATAACAGAAAAAATACTCTAAAATAAATCAAAAATAAAATAAAAGCTGTTTAGTGCACAAAAGTAACATTTTAGAGTTCTAAACCCGATACTTGCTGCCTATTTAGGTAAAAAGAAAAATACTTAACTATCGTCATGTAGACTGACATTATGGACGACCATTTACCCGCTTGAAGAGGTTCATGTACGAACGTGGTGTGGTTTGGCTGCTGCTGATATAAACAAAAACTGAAACCTATTTCGTGTGACCTGTGTGTTTCTAAATAATTGAAAACAAAATTTCCCAATTACTGTTGAGCTACTAATTATTTTAAAATTTTATATGCACTACAAGAAACAGCCAAGAAATTCGAGTTGATTACGTATATTCGATCAACCGAATATCTGTGATTATTTATTTTTATTTTAAACTGCATAGAGATTCAATCGAAATTCAGCGACCATTTTTACTTGCATCATTTTGATCTTATAATATAATGAAGAAAGTTTCCAGTAAAATACACACTACTCATGTGCTCCTGCTGTCGTCGGCACCATCTGAGTGCTACGTGATAAATTTTCATGAGCTGTTTTTATCCGGTTAATAAATTTCTAACGAGCTGTTAGGGTTCTCGCCGATGTTGGTCTCAGGCGTTAATGTTTTTCTTCCTGTTGTGTCGTCACCGATAAGGTAACGCGACTCGATTTCAGTCGTACGCGAATATTTCGCAAATAAAAATTTGACATGACGGAAACATTTTTATGAGCTACTTTAGTAGATAGAGGCGGAATCTCTTTTTAGCGCATTTTCTCATTTCATTACATTTATGGAAAAAAGGCGGCATTGCATGTGCTCGTCATGTCCGTCGTCCGTCTGTCTGTCCGTCCGTTACTTCACGTTATCGTCGACGAGAAAATGTGCTCTCTGTCACTCACTGCAGTCAGTACTGAGTTATATTTTTATAAAGTGTTGTCCAGAATAATGAGCTCCTTGAGTTGTATTTGGTGTATATTTTATCTGTGAAATTCATCCCATATGGCCGAGACAACTTTGGTCATCGCTCGTGTGCGTGATCCCCCCCAAAAAGTTTAGTGACTGAGTTTGTCCAAAAATCTTAATTTTTTCACATTATTTAGGCACTAGTTTGAGGTACTAATTACTATAATTTGTTTATCACTAGACACTAATGAGACCTATACTAATTACGTTTAAAATCCAAAATTTTTCATTTTAGCTCTTGAATTGTGCATGTTCAGTTTGTTGTGTGGGACTTATTAATATAATTCGTTGATTTTTGTATATTGGCTGCAGATGTATGAATGAACCCTGCTAATTCGGAGCACATTATGAATTAATAAAATTTCTAATCAAATGGTAAATCATCCGTTTTACAGACTTGTGGGTAAATGACATGTACTTTTAAATAAAGTGCAATGTCGGATTTCCCATCAAATGGTTTTGAGGTTTTGAGTCTTTTTATATACATTCGATAGAAAAATTAAAACTTTAGACATTGCAAAACTGTCATGATATAAAGATATTTTCATTCTCATTTAATTTAGGGAGCTATAATGACATTCTCGTATTAATTCTCTACTGCTTCTCATGATGACAACCTAATTTTTCATAAGACAGTATTTTACCTCAAGAGTATATCTTGACAGCTTAAACCCAAACCCTCATTTTTTAAACTTAGCAGGCCATTTTCTTCGAATAATACAAATAAAATGAATTTACTTCGAATAATACGAATAATAATGAATTTTCTTCGAATAATCGTAACTTGAATACCTCCACAAGTTGCCCGCACCAAGCAAAGAGAGCTGATGAGTACATCTCATTGACACTGATCAATGCCTTCATTGATTTTAAGCGACGTCAAGTATCGACTTAGTGAACGCAACATAGCAACCGGCGGTCCATATTGGCAGGCATATTAAGCACGGGTATAAAAGCCGTGCTTGCTGCCGGAGGTGAAGGAAACCAGTGTGATAAGCTGGCTTTGTGAAAGTTATTATTTAATTTCTGGGTTTGGAGGCTGTTTCCGTTTCGTAGAATTGATTTACTCACTGTAGGCACGAAAATATGATGCTTTTTAGCGCATTTTCTCATTCATGGAAAAAATACCCTTTTAATTGTGCTCGCCATGTCCGTCTGTCGATCCGTCCGTCCGTCGGTCCGTGACTTCACGTTTTCGTCGGCGAGAAAATGCGCTCTCTGTCACTTGCTGCAGTTAGTACTGAGTTATATTTTTTCTGAAATTCTATTAATTTTTTGTTGCGATTTTTGATATTCCAACCGCACTCACAAGATACCACTGCATGTTGAGCGAATTAATTTTATGAGGCTTATATTCACAATAAAATGTGTTTCACCAAGATATATATGTTCGATACTGATATATGTTCGAATATATCTAGCTGGAATTTTTTTCCGGTCATCTATTACGAAAATCTACTTTTTCGTAATTTTCTTTTTTTTCCGGTCATCTATCACGAATGCTTCAGACTTAGTTTGAGATTGTTTGGTCTACAATGACCCGTTGCACACTATTAAAAGATGCTTAGTTATATATTTAGGTAAGCGAAACATTCGTTCCGTACTTTGTCACATGTTTTTGAAAAATTTATATATAATAATGATTTAATTAATTGATTGAATTTTATTCCAGAAACACATTCTGCCATTAAAATGTTGGTCAGGTTAAACGGTAGAAAAATCCATTACGCTTTTTATTAGTTGCACCAAAATCAGCTAATAGATGTTGAAATGAATTAAATGAATGGAAGGAGAGTACGGTACTGTAAATGTAATGATCCTTCACTCTTCAAGTTCACCCCAATATCTTATCTTTAACTTAGCTTTCTTACCTTAAACTATCAACTTTGGCATTGGGGGTAACACATTCAAATATTCCGGAATCCTAAACGCTGTGTCTCCTCCAAGTTAGGGTTTTAATTGAAGATATTTATTGAAACCCTAACAGTATCATGACTACTGGCACACGCATCATTAATGAACTAATTCCAGCTCTATGCGCAAAATTTCATTTTTTTTCTATATTAATTTTGAGTACTTAATGTAATTCTCACTTCGAGATTGGCCTTGTTTTGCGCAGTCGTTTTTTTTTTTTTTGAAAAACTACATCCCCCTAAGTCAAGTGTGCAACCTGTGAACTGTGATATCTACGCCCGTCACTCATCTTTTACTTCGTGTTAATAGAGGTGCGTGGTATCTGTATTTCAGTTCATTTTAAAATGTTTAAAGAATGCCGTATTATCTGAGGTTTTTGGACGTTTACGATTTAAGATGTGTAAGATGAAACTTGTTGGAGAAAATTTTCGTTGTGCAAGAAAAAATTCCATTCTTTTCATTAAAATAATTATTCATCCATTTGATAGCATTAAAAAGCACTGCATTGGATCTTCTTAGTAACTTGGTGAATCCATTTACTGTATGCTCCAAGATTCAATTAAACGAAGCTGTTAAAAACAACAAAACCATTCCTGAACTATAGCGCGAGCCACAAAAAGTTCCCATAGATATTTCAGCAAGAAATTCTATTATTATTATTATAATTTATGTCACACAAAATTCACTAACTATTTTTAAATTTCTCTTAAAGTCTCATAATATAAAGTTACACTTTTAAAATCTGTTGTTGCATTTTATTTTCTCAAATTAATGGGACTAATTTACGACAACCATGGCGCCATACTCAAAACTATTGCTTCAAGTGTGATCAAGTGCTTGCAAATGCTAGTAAAAAAAATAAGTTATAGATTTCCTGGCATAAATGCTGCTCATGCACTCCCCAGCTAACAACCTGCATTTGTTATGAATTATAATAAGTATGAAGTTGTATAAAATATTTAGTTGTATTGATTTAAAGATCGGCGCAATGAGCGGTTCAGTGGACTCAGCGATGACGTCAGCAGCGTCGTCCCCCACCACCCCCCTGAGCACCCACGCCCTCGTGCCCCCCTCGTCTGGTGAGACTAATAGTGTCCCTGTTGAAGATAATTAAATAATATTAAAATAATTAATAAGACATTAACGTTTTTTGATGCCAATGAGCCAATGATATCTGTCAGCAGAAACTCAATTGCATTCTAATTGGAAAATAATGAATTGGATTAAAAGTTGCAAAAATTCGTATCCATGGAATGCATTTTAATTCAACGCTGATTCGACCAAAATTAATTTCACTACATTTGATTGGAATCATAGTTTAAATTTTCCTATAAGTTGACGGTACGTTGCACCTTGTAAAGTCGTAGGCTTCTTGCAAATCAGTCCTCCTGATCTGAATATTAACAAACGCACGCACACTGGAGCCTGTGGCAGCACCAGTAGTCGATGTTATCAGCAGCGGCCGGTGCAGCGACTTAACATTTTGCCTTTTGTACGCAGTTAGTGTCATGTTGTGCCAGAAATACCGTACTGTAATACATCCTATTTGTGAGTATCCGAGTGGACTTGGCTCGCTGGTTAAATGTACATTGCCAGTGTACCAAGGGCTCTGTACACTGCCAGCGTACTTACGGTTTTGTACACTGCCAGTGTACTTACGGTTTTGTACACTGCCAGTGTACTTACGGCTTTGTACACTGCCAGTGTACTTACGGTTTTGTATACTGCCAGTGTACTAAGGGCTTTGTTCACACACACACACTGTTATTGTACGACCTCTTTTGTACCCTGGCATTGCAACCCTCGAAGGAACTTGTGAATATTTTGTGATAAGAGCTTAGCTTTTTTAAGCTGAAAAAAAGCAGATAGAAGAATATTTTCGTAACATTGGTACGTTCTGTTTTCTAACAATAAGTACCGTAATTAATGTATAAATTTATTGCTGATTCTTATGCAATCCGCGTTTTTATGTCGATTCCAAATATCAGACGATAAAAACAATTTTAAATTTTCGATTCTATGCATGAATTTCCACTGCTGCGTATATAAATGTTCAAACACAAGCCCGGCCCCCAGAAGCCATAGCACCCACAAGTGTCCTCCCAAGCCTGACCACTCCACCCATGGTTTCATATTTATTTCAACCATGACCTCACCGCCTTCAGCGCCATGACCTCCATGACATGACATATTTCAACCATGACCTCACCGCCTTCAGCGCCATGACCTCCATGACATGACATATTTCAACCATGACCTCACTGCCTTCAGCGCTGCCGGCCCTCGAGGCACAGGACGTACGACTCAGGGGTGACTACATCATCTACAGGAGACGGTGGTTCATACTCATCCTCTTCGTGATGTTCTCCATGTCTAACGCCTTCAACTGGATACAGTACTCCATCATCACCAACATCATCACCAGATACTACGGTGTTGAAGCTTACCTGGTCGACTGGTGCTCCATGATCTACATGGTATCCTACATACCGCTTATATTCCCCGCGTCGTGGTATCTTCAAAAACGGGTATGGAAAAAGTGTGGCTAACTTGGTCATGTGGAGTAACAGTTATATTATTGTGATTTATTTTATATTCATTACTTTGATATTTTTAAGTTTATTATAGAATGGGGAGGGGAGGGGGTTATGCTCCTAGAGTGTTCAATCCTTTAGGCAAATAGGATTGAAATTCAAAGAAAGGATTTCAGTAACACTTTTCTTGTTCGTTTTTTTATGTTTGCATTTAAGTCATTTTAAAATTTCAATTGGTGCAAAACTATCTAACTTGAAATTGAAAAAAGTGCATTTATGTTTTTAATATGTAGTCATGTCATTAAGAAACCTACTGCGTACGGTAGTCTGCCAACGTCAGCAAAAAATATCGTGAGGCTCATTGAAAAAACGAATTAGAAAATTGTTTAGAAAATTCTCTCGTCTCAAAAGTTTTGTAAAAGGAACAATTTATGTCAAACTATAACCAATCTCCTCTTTGATGTAGATAATTAGATAGTTTTTTCCTTTATTTTCAGCTTTTTCCATAATTAATTACTACCATAATTAAAGATTATTAATATAATTAACTATATAGTATCATAATTATTCAATGAATTGCTATCATGACTTGCTAATGTGGTCAGGGTCTGAGGTCAGCGGTGGTGGTGGGGTCACTGGGTACGATGCTCGGTACGTTGGTCAAATGCTTCTCCGTCGCGCCCGACAGATTTGCGGTCACCTTCGCTGGCCAGACCATCGTTGCTGTGTCACAAGTCTTCGTTCTAGGTTAGAATAAATGTCATGTCAAATTTTCAGTTGTCTTTCTGCAATTTGGCGCGTTAGTGTAATTTGATTTCAGAACATTACCGCTATAGGTACTTTACCAAAAGCGAGTAAATTTCATACGAAATTTTTCTGACGCTAAGATCATGTATTATTATGTCTAGTAAAATTACTGCTGTAACTTCCCTTATATACCTATAATACATAAGCCATTATTCCACTGAAGTAGGATTAAGTACATTAATTACCACCACCACCCACACTCCAGACCTTTGTAGACCCTTCGTAGAGAATTGGTTTCCTTTGTATGTGTTTTAGAATAACTCGTAAAAGTCCAAAAAGTATTAGACACTCTTATTTATGATGAGATTTACCAAGCCAGATTGTCTTTATCAAATTTTTTTTCGTCTTCGTGTTGAACATCGGAAAAGTTTTCCCAATTGTTTAGCGCAGGAATCAAACAGTTTAAAACACATACAAAGGAAACAAAAATAGTGACGTGCACCATTTCATCCCAGGCATCCCACCTCGCTTGGCCGCCGTGTGGTTCGGGGCAGACCAAGTGTCCACCGCCTGTGCCATCGGAGTCTTCGGTAATCAGGTGAGGTTCATTTCTAGTGTTGCTGCGTTAATTGATTATTTATTTAATTGAGAAAAAACCTGATAAATCTAGCCATCGGAGTCTTCGGTAATCAGGTAAGGTTTTTTTTTCTAGTGTTGATGTGGTAATTGATTATTTATTTAATTGAGAAAAAACCTGATAAATCTAGCCATCGGAGTCTTCGGTAATCAGGTGAAGACTGTTTCTAGTGTTGTTGTGTTAATCGATTATTTATTTATCTAGTTATGAAATATCCTTCTAAGGCCTGTCATCGTATGTACTATAATTAGGCCTCGATAATCTATTTTATTTGAACTTCAGCGGACTTTCGGTCCTTGGAAGTATATTTAAAAACTTTACTATTTGCGTTTTTATGTGATCATAACCTGACAATAAAATCAAATGTTCATTTATGCTAGTTATTTATCGAATATTTTTACACTTCGGAACATGTACTGTTCTCCCTACCGCCTATGATACCGAGTCCCAAAAAATGTTTACTCCATTGTTTTCGACAGTATATTTAAATCTATACCAATACATTGTAGAACCCATGTAAGAATTTAATAAACTGGTTCAGCAGTAATGTTCGCACGACAGTTTTTAATTCTAAAAACTGTTTAATTTAAAAAATCGCATCGTTTTTTCTCGGATTTGCAAATTGAATTTTATTGCAGCGTGCGACTAGTTCTATGAGAAAAGTTGCCAGAGTGCATTGTCATGTCCCGAAAATCTAAATACACATATTTTGTCTTCTCAAAGCACTTAACCCAGCAGGCATCTGACGTTGAAATAACGTTGATTTTTGGTTGATTTCAGGTTGAAATGTTGAACAACCAAAATTAAACGTCACATCAACGTCGAAATCTGACCAACACTAGAAGGGACGTAAAACAACCTTATTTCAACGTTGAAATAACGTCGATATTGGTACGTTGAATTTTTACTAATTTTTAAACGTTGAATCAATTTTGATTTCAGGTTTAAATGCTGAACAACCCAAATCATACGTCCATTCAACGTCGAAATCTGACTAAAACTAGAACGGATATAAAACAACCTTATTTCAACGTGGGAATAACGTCGATATTGGTACGTTGAATGTTTACTAATTTTCAAACGTTGAATAAATGTTGATTTCAGGTGCAGTGCTGAACAACCAAAATTAAACGTCATATCAACGTCGAAATCTGACCGGCACTAGAAGAGACGTAAAACAACCTTATTTCAACGTTGAAATAACGTCGATATTGATATGTTGAATTTTTACTAATTTTTGAACGTTGAATCAATGTTTATTTTAGGTTGAAATGCTGAACAACCAAAATTAAACGTCTGATCAACGTCGAAATCTGACCAAACTAGAACGGACGTAAAACAACCTTATTTCAACGTTGAAACAACGTCGATATTGAAACGTTGAATGCTTACTAATTTTTAAACGTTGAATCAATGTTGATTTCAGGTTGAAATGCTGAACAACCAAAATTAAACTTCCGATCAACGTCGAAATCTGATCAAAACTGGAACGGATGTAAAANCTTACTAATTTTTAAACGTTGAATCAATGTTGATTTCAGGTTGAAATGCTGAACAACCAAAATTAAACTTCCGATCAACGTCGAAATCTGATCAAAACTGGAACGGATGTAAAATAACCTTATTTCAACGTTGAAACAATGTCGACATTAGTATGTTGAATGTTTATTTATTTTTAAACGTTGAATCAATGTTGATATCAGGTTGAAGTGCTGAACAACTAAAATTAAACATCCGATCAACGTCGAAATCTGACGAAAACTGGAACAGACGTAAAACAACCTTATTTCAACGTTGAAAAATGGTCGATATCGGTACGTTGAATGTTTAGCTATTTACCAGCATGGAACTAATGTTATCACACCAACATTGAATGAAATAAATATATATAAGTGTACGATTAATGACCAGAGAATGCAGTTCAATTTTCAAGGCGTCGAACAATTCTTTAGCTTATTTCTATTGCTCATGCACGCGAGCTGCCGTGGTCAAGGTTGCTAAGGCGTCGCGCGGTCTCCAGCGATCCCGGGTTCGAATCCTGCCACGGATGAAAAACAGGTTGGTTCTTCAACGTTGATTCAATCAGAGAATTTGACGTTGCAGCAATGTCGTAGTAGTAACATTGATTCAATGTTGCATTGTAACGTCAGTACGACGTTTCATGAGAGACGTTGCTTCAATTTTCATTCTAAACCTATTTTCACCCCGATCTCAATGTCGTAATGCGTAGTTGTTTCATTGTCAATACAACCATAGAATTCAACGTTGCAGCAACGTCGTAGTAGCAACATCGATTCAACGTTGCATTGTAACGTCAGTACGCCGTTGCATGAAAGATGTTGCTTCAATTTTCATTCTAAACCTCCTTTCACACCGATACCAATGTCGTAATGCGTAGTTGATTCAACGTCGATTCAACCATAGAATTCAACGTTGCTGCAACGTCGTAGTAGCAACATCGATTCAACGTTACATTGTAACGTCAGTACGACGTTGCATGAAAGATGTTGCTTCAATTTTCATTCTAAACCTCCTTTCACCCCGATACCAATGTCGTAATGCGTAGTTGATTCAACCACAGAATGCCTGCTGGGAAGCTAATACGTAAAAAATCATGCTTTAAACTTTATTCATTGCAATAAATCCAAATTAATAATTTGAAATCATTGTTTTCAATGCATCAGTTTGCAATCACTTGGCCAAACTATTTAAGTTTTCCGTAATGGTTGATGAAAGATCCTGATAGAACCTGAAGTTAAATAATTGGGAAAAAATTTCTGATATTCAACACGAATTAAAATTGATAGAGACAATTTGACTTGGTAAATCTTATCATAAATAAGAGTGTCTTATACTTTTCGGACTTCTACGAGTAATCCTAAAACACATACGTACAAAGGAAACCAATTCTCTTTTCTGTTATTTTACGCCGAAGGATGTTCATGTGTTTCAGTGTCATCCTTCATATTCCAATATTGCGTCAAAGTTTGAACTTCAATTTTTTGTTACTCGTTAATGACAGATTATGAGCCGGGAGTGACTGAGCACCGCCTCCGATGGCGGTTTCTGGCTATACTGTGCGAAAAAAATTCAGCCTATTTTCGAGAAAAGTAAAAAATAGTATCTAAACATACCTCGATTGTAGTAGACACATATTTATTTTCTCGTCGTCTACCCAAGAAATGTCCCCTGACTGCTCATTTTAATAAATCAGTATTCATTTATATCACAGAAATGCATTTACGACGGTAATTATTATTTATAATTTAATTATTGAAGCGAGATTTGCCTTGTTTAAATGGCTCACTGATGGCAGCGATTAACCCTTGCCACCAGCTGGGTATCGCGCTGGGCTTCTTGCTGCCGCCCATTATGGTGCCGGACTCCGAGGACTTGGATGAAATATCTGCTGGACTATATACCATGTTCATCTCTGTAGCTGTTATATGTGCTCTTCTCTTCGTGGCCATCTTGTTTGGTAAGCACTTTAGTATCTATAAAACCACGTTGTAAATTCATTACCTTGTTTGTGATATTTACTCTCGTCTTCGTATTAATTTTGTTTGGTAAGCCCTACTACGTATATAAAATCACGTTGTATGTTAATTTCCTTGTTTGTGATATGTACTCTTCTCTTCGTAACTATCGGGTTTGGTAATCCCGGTTTAAATGTCTAAACCCCAGATCCATACCTTGTGTTTAAGTGCTAGATCACAAATCAAATCCTATGTTTAATTAATTTATATTGTATTTTCAATCTTGCATTAAGGTAACTATCTTGTTGTCAGTGTTCAGGGAGAAGCCCCCCACGCCCCCCAGCGCTGCTGCTGACTCAGCGGAGGCCGAGGCGTCCGCGTCGTACGTGCAGGGCATACTCAGGTGAACTGTCCTCCTTACTCATCAGGATTGTATATACAATAATTTTAATACAAATTAAAAATCTGTCATTAAAAGTACATCACGATCGCATATACAGGGTAACTCAGGCCCTAAGACAATTTACTCAGGTAAATTGTCTTCCATACTCATCAAGATTATTTAGCAAATAGTTTTAATACAAATTAAAATCTTATTAGTATAAGTACATAAGGATTGTATATACAAGGGTATACTCAGGTAAATTGTCTTCCTTACTCATCAAGATTGTTTATCCAATAGTTTTGATACAATTTAAAATCATATCAATAAAGCATATCAGAATCGGAGATACTGGGTATACTCATGTGATTTCACTTTATTACTTATCAGCCTTATTTATCAAATAGTTTTATTACAAATTAAAATCATATCATTAAAGTACTATATCAATATCGTAGATACAAAGTATACTCATGTGAATTCACTTTCTCACTTATCAGCCTTATTTATCTAGTGAATATATTAAAAATTCGAAATACCTATATCGTTAATAATTTTTCATCGTCTTACTTGCTGGGCATACTCAGGTGAATGCGCTTACTTACTCATCAAGCTTATTAATCCAGAGATTTCTATGAAAATTCCCAGATTATTATAAAAATAGAAGTTTGTGAACCGTAATGATTTGCATAATATTTGTATGATAATTTGCATGATAATGATTTACGTAATGATTTGCATAATTCTGCAATTGATTTCATACGAGCCGAACGATCTTGATTAAATTTCAATGAGATTAGGGCACTTATATGAGATATCGAATTTTCAGGCCACTATCATCGAACTACGACCACGTATAATATACAACGATGTAATTAACACTCTTAATTCAGAGCTGTGATCGCTTATCTTAATGAGGTATTCAATGAACGAGTTACATTACAAGCTCAACTTTGATGAATGATGAGGGAGTTTCTTGGTAAATTGAACGGCTTTGATCGTCATATTGGAGAAATTTGTTCGTCTTTAAACGTGATTTCTATTAAAATAACAGGCCTCCATGATAGTCAGATTTTCATAATAAATGCCATTCACTGAAGTTTTGAGAAATATGAAAAATTTTGGGGATACCTTCATGTTCACGAGATTTATTTATAAATAATCGAACTTAATGGAAACAGCGACGTTGAATGATGTCAGAGCAAACAAAGGTTATTTTAATTTAAAAATGTTATTGTTGACTAGGAAAGAGTTATCTATCCACTTAATGCTTCCTTCTGACGTGATTTTAGCACGTTTAGCGTGATCTGTCTTGCACGTACGCAATTCAATGAAAACGTTGGCAAAATATAATCATTATTCTAATAATTGAAAATGTCTCATTCTAAAGATTTGATTTTGAACAAAACCAATGAGTTCCGCGAATAAAAGTTGACTTGTGTATCACTTATGTAAATCGAAAATTTCGGACTTGGGCTTTCTCAGTGAATTGTACTGCTTGAAGATAAATTATGCAATAAAGAAATTCATCTTGAAAATATCTCTACCACAAAAGTTTTCTATAACATCACAATTCAAAATGTTCTGTTGAAATATTTCAAGATGTTTAAACCACGTGTCGTATTTTGATCGCATGCGATTTAGTACTTCACAAATTTAATATCAAGCTCAACAAAATATCTTCAAGACTTTACACTCAAATTTGTGGCTTCCTTATTTCTTTGAATTATTCTAGGCAAATTAATTTCTCCATTTGTATTTGTTCTTAATTCGTGTAATAATGGATTAAAAATATCAGTAACTAACCACAACTTAATTACGTTTTGAACTTAATGAATTGAAATTTTCCAGGCTGTTCGAAAACGAAAGCTCAAGAATTGTTCTGAATTTTAAGACTAAGTCTTTGTTTTTGAATTTCAATACCGTATTTATGTTATAATTTGCAGGCTTGTCAAGAACCCAGGCTACATTTTATTGCTGCTCTCGTACGGCATGAACGTGGGGGCTTTCTACGCCATCTCTACGCTGCTGAACCAAGTCGTCCTGTCGCACTTCCCTGTGAGATCACCGCACCAAGTCTGATCATTTTGAATACAATACACTCTTGAATACAATACTTTTTTGTATATTACGGTGTATTCTATAAAATATAATCATTTTTGTATATAATACTTTCTTGAATATAATAATCTTTTGAATGCAATACTCGTTTTGAAATAATACTGTATCGAATACAGTACTCATTGGAGTACAATAACTTTTTGTAAATAATACTTTTTCGAATATTTTGCGATATTGTGTAGGTTCTGGTCGGGGGAGTAGCTCACGAATGTAGTTAAGTTTTTTCTAAATAAATGTTATTGAGTTGAATAATTTCAGCTACAGTAAAATAAATAAAATATTAACGTAAACCTCGAGTAAATGTAATAAATTTGATTGTAATAATTTGTAGGTATCCGTCACTACGAATGTATTTTCCGCATCAGGACCATGGAAAAAATTTTTTTTTATCAAATAATTAACACTTCTTTACTAAGTATTCCGACATATTACCACATTTAGAAAAGTATTCATAACGGAAGATTCGAAGATTCAAACCTAATTTTAGTTTCACCTGATTGCAATATCATCACTCAATTGTCTTGGCATACCTGAGTGACTCCAATTATAATAATGTGATCATTTCCAAGCAGAACTTCGGCACAGCTTCCATGGACCGTAATTGAAATAGATTTATTTTCGTGCCAGGGCTTGAGTAAAGCCTTCTATTTACTGTAATATTGACTGCACACATCAGGCTCCCAAGAGTTTCATTGCGTTGTACTGACAGGTTCATATTCCAGGAAATCTGTCAACATTCTGAATCAATATAAACTAACCATCGTTTATCAATTACGTATCATTATCTAACTATCATTAGGGAACTATCATTAACTAACTATCATTAGGGAACTATCATTAACTAATCATCATTAACTGTCAATAACTAACTATCATTAGGGAACTATCATTAACTAACTATCACTAGGGAACTAGTATCATCAACTAACTATCATTAGGGAACTATCATTAATTAATTATCAATAACTATCATTATCTGTCAATAACCAACTATCATGAAATAACTACCATTAATAACGTAATTAATTAAGGCACTGATGGCAGGGCGAGACCCTGAACGCAGGCAGGATCGGCTTGCTGATCGTCGTGGCCGGGATGCTGGGGTCCGTGGTGTGCGGCTACATCCTGGACAAAACTTCCAAGTTNTGTTCTTGAAAGCGTTCATACTTGGAGCGCCAACGATGTCATCGGGGAGGCTGTTCCACATGTCGGTGATTCGAAGCGATAAGAAATTTTGTCGCGTGGAGAAGTTGCAGCGCAGTTTTTTTAGTTTATGGCCGTGGCCCCTGGTGTTGGTTCTTGTAACACAAAAGTTTTTGATCTTGCTTTGCATATGAATTACTCCCCTCCCTTTCCATACAACATCTGGCTGCTTGGTGCGAAATACAAAATAGGAAGTTTCCGCGAATAGCCCTGTAATATGATTGAAATAACTCTCTTTTGTCTTAGTATTAAATGATGCTTCAAATAAAACTTCGAAATAACAGCGAGTAACTGCTACTTGGCCGAGCCTCAATAGTTCATAAAAACTCTCTTCAGTCTTGGTATTAAATGATCGTTTTGAACCTTTTTTTCGGCTCATAATCGGGATTTACTGTACCATACGGGATACTGTACATTTAAACACTGGAATGAATCCTTGTAATCACATTTTCATTTCCCAACGGATCGTAAATCTTCGCCATGCAATTATTATTATTTTCTTGACATGTACTCAAGCATACTGTTATTAAAATGGTACTGATTCTTAGCGATACTATGAGACTATATAATGACTGAACCGGAATTGTAGTAATTTTTTCAACTAAACGAAGTAGAAATCACAGTTTTATTGATGCATACAGAAAGCCTTTTAAATGTATAGTATAGATCAAAAGATTGATTTCATTGAAGACCAGAAAGTATTTCTTATTGTTTTTCTCCATTCGGCGAATTAGGCTATTGATAGGAACTGAAAAGTCAAATATCAGGTTTCCAAGGGACATTTTATTATAATTTTACGACGTTTCGAATGCAACTTCATTCATTATCAAGTGGAAGAGGAAGTGCTTTGCAAAGTAACCTTTATCAAGTAACCCTCTTCTACTTGATAATGAATGAAGTTGCATTCGAAACGTCGTAAAATTATAATAAAATGTCCCTTGGAAACCTGATATTTGACTTTTCAACTACTATCAAGAGCCTAATTCGCCGAATAGAGAAAAACAATAAGAGAAATGTCAATAAGAAATACTATCTGGTCTTCAATGAAACCTGCATTAAAGAACAGCTTCTGCCAAACTACACCAAAGATCAAAAGACAATGGAAGTTTCGAGCCAGATTTTCAAGTTTGTATTGTCAGTGTACTTTCTGCCACCTCAGGCTTGTTTAGGTAACGAATCACCATTCACCAACATTGCAGGATTGTGACTGCCAACCTAGGCTTATTTAGGTATAACGAGTCACCGTTCACCAACATTGCAGGCTGGTGACGCTTGTGGTGTACTGCTTGTCGCTGCTCTTCATGCTGGGCTACACGTTTGTCTTCCAGACGCAAGTTCTGGCCCTTGTCTTCGTCATGGCGGGAGCCTTAGGGTGAGTTCCATGCTCATGTCAACCTTGTGTCCTTATCATCTCACGTGCCTGTAACCTTGTGCCCTTATCATCTCACGTGCCTGTAACCTTGTGCCCTTATCATCTCACGTGCCTGTAACCTTGTGCCCTTATCATCTCACGTACCTGTAATCTTGTGCCCTTATCATCTCACGTACCTGTAATCTTGTGCCCTTATCATCTCACGTGCCTGTAACCTTGTGTCTCAGGTCTTCGGCATCTTCTGCACCATGGCTGATGGACAACTCCTGAACAAGTGAGTCACTCAGGTCTTCGGCATCTTCTGCACCATGGCTGATGGACAACTCCTGAACAAGTGAGTCACTCAGGTCGTCGGCATCTTCTGTAAGTGGCAATGGACTGCTGCTAGACAAATGAGTGATAAAACATACACGTATTATTATTATTAGCAACAGAAATGATTTGCTTTATAGTTACACGAGGTTTCAAGCGCTTGAATCATTGCAATACGTCGATTAAGGATAATGTCTTTGAGATTAAACGTTGTTCCATTTATAAGCTTCACGCCTAATGAAGTACCAGCGAATTGCGTCTTCCGTCAGTAAGGCAAGCACGTCGATATGTCTAAATGCTTAATAGTACTGAAATAGGTTGTGGCTGCGAGTTGAACATTTGTGCTGCTAGCTGTGAAAATTTTTGCGTTGTCCAGAATCGACGAATATACACTCATAACATAACATAACATAGTGATGTCGGCGCTGAAGAGTAGGCCTGATGTGGCCTGTCGCCGATTCTTTTACTTTTCATGCCTTGTTCACAGAAGATCTAATATCGTGTTATTTGCCCGGAACTTTTCATGACTGGCGATAGTTTGAAATAGCTACTCGACTTCCTCTTGGCCTAATCTTCATGGCTGTTCCTATTACACTTTATTAAATATGATAATGAAAGTCGCTGGACGCTTTATTTTAATGCTCTCGTAAAACTGTGGGTTAGAGTATGGTGGTGGTTGTGGTGGTGCCGATGGTTGCGACCGTTGAAGCTAGACTTAAGATATGCTATTATGTGATGTTATATTTTAGGTACAGGTACGTAATGATATATTTAATGGGCAGGTACATCATATTTTATTTACAGGTACCTGATGATAAATTTAATGTGTAGGTTTGTAATGATATATTTAATGGCAGGTATATGATGTTGTATTTAAACGTGCAGGTTCGTGATGTTATATATAATGTGCAGGTACATGATATTGTATTCAATTTGCAGATATGGCGACAAAGCGGCTAACCTGCTGCTGGTCGCGGTGCTGGTGGTGGGCGCCGCCATGACGGCCCTCATCAAGGAGGACCTGCGACGCCAGAGGGCGCGCCAGAAAGCAGACCTTCACGGCGCCCACGAGTCCAGACTATAAAATTGTCTGGATAAAATTGACATTATTTTTGTGATAGAAAGTAGTGAAAACGAGAGAATTTAATGATAATGATATTCGAGAATAGTCAGAGTAGTAAAAACGGAAGGATTAAATGGTATTCCACAACAAATTATAGTACTAAATACGGAAGAATTCAAGAGACAAACTAGTCGGAATACTAACAAAGTAGAGATTTATTAACGATGTTCTACGTCAAACTAGTCAGAATATCAAGATGGGAAAGATTCAATAGAGTTCTACGTCAAACTAGTCAGAATATCAACAACAGAAAGATTCAATGGTATTCTATCATTGAATTAAACATTGAGCATACAGTGAAATGCTGAAGATAGAAATATAAGCTTCATGTGTGAATTTCACGTGGAGTTGCACTTTGAAGTTGTTAGACGAAGTGGTTGCGATGCGGCAATGGAGTGACGCGTGGTTAACACATAAATAATATTTCGCTGGTAATAATTTGTGATGTGACCGGAAATAACATGTTGGAAAAAAATTATGGACTTTGATTTTAATTTTAGAGGACGATAATTGTAATATGTATAGCCACTGGTTATTCAGCAATGATTTTTATCTCGTTGGATTTAATTAGATTTTTTAAAACCTTACCTTAAGTTTTTTATTTAAATTATTTAGGTCAGAAATGTGTTCTTTAGGTGAGACTGTGGATAATTTTTAGCGAAGAACATTCGGGTAACAAATTAGATTGATTCGAAGCTTATTAAATATCCATTGACTTTATTTTACTTGTCTTTGCTCGGTATTGCTGGAATTTCACGCTTTAAACCTTTAAAATCAAAAAGGTTATAATTGCTGAAGGTTTAACGTTTTTATTATATCATGAAATGTTGTTTGAGCTGAGCTGTTATACGAGTTGTCGGTTTTTTCAGAACCGCTTTGTAAACTGGTTTATGTTTAAGAAATTTAATGGATGAGCGTAGACAAAATATTGAGATTAAGGTTCGGGGCAATGGAACGGAGCCATGAACTTAAATTTAAAGTTGCCTTCATCTGAACTCAACCTTGGTTGATGAACAAACTTCAATGAGGCAAACACAAAGTTAGTTGCACAATAATGCTTTGTTACAGTCAGCGTACATAAACAAAGGTGACAGCATCTGACATTTACTGATTTATCTATCAGAGAAGATTTTTCTCGCAGTGAATTGCTAGAGTTGAGTCGAGTGACCTGATTCACAATGAATATTTTCAACAAATTCATATGTGATATTTTTTATGTTAGCTCACGTCTGTGACTTACCCATTGTAATAGAAGATGTGTGCGTTGCTACTGTTTCATGACTGATAATTAATTTTAGGTCTCTTCGTTCAGAAATACTTCCTTATGTTCACAAATTTCAACACGTACCGGTATGCTTAATCTTTACACCGAGTGCAGCTATTTATTATAATAACGTTTCGCCCGTTCGCATTTCAATTGAATTTTATTTGTACCGTTTTATCGCTTAATAATGCTTTGGTTTCTCATCAATGGGCAATTAAGTCAACATACATTAATGCATTCCTAGGTGTTTCAGTGCGCAAAACCCGGTTATCAATAAATGTTGAGGAGGAAATTTGGAGCTAGAATAATAAACTCGGCCGCCGCGGAAATCTTCCGTAGAGTTTAGATCTAAAATACCTATTTATCGGGTTTAAAACGAGTTTAAATCGAAAATAATGAAATTCAATTTTCAAAGAGTAGTTTGAATAAATTTGTATCTTTTTCACTGAAGTAAAACCCGGAAATAGTATATTCATGAGCAATATTTTTCTACAACGTACGCAGTTTACCCATATTTCATTTTGCCTGAGGCTTTCTTCAATGAATATAGCAAGAAATATACTGTATAAATAACACGACGTGTGTATACAATTTAAATAACACGACGTGTGTATACAATTTAAATAACACGACGTGTGTATACAATTTAAATAACACGACGTACAATTTAAATAACACGATGTATGTATACAATTTAAATAACACGACGTGTGTATACAATTTAAATAACACGACGTGTGTATACAATTTAAATAACACGACGTGTGTATACAATTTAAATAACACGATGTATGTATACAATTTAAATAACACGACGTGTGTATACAATTTAAATAACACGACGTAGGTACACATTATAAATATACAATATAAATAATACGCCGTGTGTATACAATTTAAATAACACGATGTGTGTATACAAAAAAACTATATAATATAAATAACACGACGTATGTACACATTATAAATATACAATATAAATAACACGATGTGTGTATACAATTTAAATAACACGATGTGTGTATACAAAATAAATATATAATACAAATAACACGACGTGTGACCAAGTCTTCCAAAAATACTGCAGTCACTCCCACGCTTTGACATTCTTATGAATATATTTCTCATTAAACTAATTAAGTCTGGTAACACTTTGTAGTTTGCATGCGTGATAGATGTCGTCAAAAATAAGTGTGTTCGTGTATACATGATTGGTTTGTTATGAAACATAACCTTTATAGTATATATAACCTGTCGTAGTGGATCCACTACACCGCTGGTTCATTGCATTCATGACGGAAAATAAAATGTCTGTACTTTTAATAGTAGAATTTTGTGTTGTGCTGTACATTTTTACGATATTCATTTAAAAGAAAATATATCAACACAAAAACATTGATATGCAAGAACATATATTGCTAGGTAGAAAAGGCTACAAGTATGTGTTCTCACAAAGGTCTACCTAATTTTAACATTCTAGCTTGTTTATTGTTTTCGCTGATTATTTGTTCTCTTCATTATTCAGATTTGTCTGCATTTGTTGCTTGATTTAATGCAGCATGTCGTCAACTCACGTGGCAGTGGAAGCTATTCCGATATTTCAATGGAATTTTCCTTAGTTTATCCTACTTTTATTCATTTTAACTTTGAATTCAACATATTTTTGGAGTCATGTAATACACAATCACAATATGTGTTCCTATTGTAATCTATACCCGATATTACAAGTTAATTGATAGTCTTGAACTGTCATGACGATATTTTGAATCATATATGTGGCCGTGAGTCTTGTGCTGGTTAATAATACATAAGCTAATTAGAAGATTATTAGACTATTAGAAAGAAGCTAATAGTCTGTAATTATCGTATACTCGTTGCAGTTCACAAATGTAGCATGACAATATAGCTGATTGATTTTATTCTAGTTCTGTATTTATTCTAAAATTTCCAATAGGCATGTAACTCTTATAGCGCAGTATAGATGGCCTGATTTGCATTTAATTCAGGAAGCATTGAACATTTTCTGGTGTTACGGAAAGTTGATTAGCACCGTTCTTATGAGAAAATTTTGGCTTATAGATATTTTAGATATTCTCCCCTGCAGCTGTGCTTCTCACCTGCAGCTGTGCTTCTGCCCTGCAGCTGTGCTTCTCCCCTGCAGCTGTGCTTCTCCCCTGCAGCTGTGCTTCTCCCCTGCAGCTGTGCTTCTCACTACTCAACAAGTACTGCAACTACTGCCGTATCTTTTAACTGCGTTCGAGTTAACCTTGACATTTTATTAAGTTATTTTGATTATTACAGTCAT